TTATAAGTTCTGCATCCTGCCACGTTTGACCACTAATTTCCGGCGTTTTCAACGTCTTGAATTAAGAAACTTAACTTCGTTAATTTAGTTAAATAGAACCGAATCAGCAACGTAGAACTGCAGATCTGAAAGACCGGCGAATCAGACAAACTCCACACCTTTCCATTCTAAGAGAGAGCCTCACAAGACTGGTACACTTCTGCAAAATTGATGCAACAAACCCGACCTGAGCTCTGGCGGGAACCCTAAGCCTCAGCTCCTCCGCCGCCCTCCACACCCTTCTCGCCGTATCATTCCACCCTTTACAAACGTTCGCAGCCGACAACAGCCCTGTCGGCGGCAATCTCCGCAGCACGTCCCAGAGAATGTTTACTGGCAACCCGCCCGAGTCCAGACCGGAGGAATCCGGGTATCCAGCCTCCCGATCGTCCGCTTCAAGCGGATCGAATCCGCCGTTTCGGTCTTCGGCATCGTCAAATGACAATGCCCGACGGAGGTAGGAGTAAGAATATCGGGGCGGCGGCTGACAGGTTGGAGACTCGTGAATGGCAGAAAAGGCGGATACAGATGAATCGATAGGGGTAGCAGCGGACGGATGAATTGGACTTTTGATGTGACAGTTGTGGCCCTTCTTAGGGAGACCACAGCGGCCACAGTTATAGCTGCCCCGCTTTTTGCCGCCCTTGGGGTCGGAGCTGATGCCGGGAGCGGTGGAGCCTGCGGTGGCGAAATTGGGATGGGTATTGGGTTGGTGGTGTTGCATAGCGGGAGCGTTCGGGCTGAGAAGGGAGGGGATGCCTAGAGTAAAATAAAAGCCCAGCGCGGGAGAGTTCGCGCCATTTTGGTGGTTTCACTCCGTTCAACTTTTTCTATTTTGCTTCCATTGCCTTTTGCATGCACATGCGTGACGTAATAGCGTGCCGAACACTTCCCATTCGTTAGGCTTTTTAAAAAATAAACAAATGAATAGATGGCCCAAGACTTTTCCTTTGTTAGCCAAACTAACTACACTTTATTAATCTCAAAAACCTAACGACAGATACCAAGCAAACCAGAAGGGCAAAAAATTGCTGTTACAGTCTGACACACGGCTCTCAAACCTAGGATACAATCTAAACAAGCACAGGCTAGCTAAACACAGAGTATAAGAACTACAGATTTACGACAATGTTCCCGAGACTTCATATTTGACCAATTCCTGGTTTTGCACTGAGCTCCATTCTGTGTTCATAGATGAAGAATGCCCGGCCACTTCGTTTGCATGCCCGTCCCTTGCCTTGAGCCCTTGACGTAAAAGACGGAGAATCACTGATGGGCATATCCTAACAGGAACAGTACCATTCCACCTTGTAAAAAATTCATATTTTATCATTCTCTTTGCCGCAAAAATTCTATTGACTGGTGATAACATCGCTTGTGCTGCATGATTATTTGTGAAGTTGGCGGCAATTGTCATGTATATACCAATGATTTCAAAACCATATCCATTCCTAACTAGACAATTCGATCGATTAGGCTCTTGATTGGTTACTATGGCAACTCGGTTTGAACAAGCTAACTGTTTTCAGCTTTTTGTATTTAGATTGGGTTGGGGCCGTTCTACAAAGATAGTCAGATTGCAAACCGCCTAAAAGCTGGGAATTAGTGAATCGAGCGGTTCACTTTTTCCTTACTTTTTCCCTCAATTTCAACTTTAAAGGTTAAAGGTAAAAAGTTAAAAAACCCTCCTCCATTGCAGTCATCCTCTTCACTCGCGATTCCAAAGCTCAGACCCACACTCCGTCTTCCTCACGTCTTCACGATTCTAGCCAGAGCTTCGACGACGAGTCTGTCCTCTATTGTCCCTCCGTCTGCGCGTTACCGAGCAAGTTCGATCACTTCCTCATTCATTTTGGTTCATTCATCCGTCTGCTTTCTTGAGACATTATGTGGTATTATGTGATTTTGATTGTTAAAACTTCCTTGTACGGAAAAAGAACCACCCTCTCTGCACTTTTGTCTCTCTTGCTCAACTCTTCCCCGCCTTTATATCTTCCTTCAGCAAGGGTTTTCGTTAGCAAATGGCTGAAGTGCTAAAAAAATCTGCATCTTGCTTTGCGTGCTTTGTGACTGTCCTGTTGCGCCTGTTGCTTTGACCAACCTTTCATAATAACATGTTATGTTCTTTACGATGGTAACATTTGAGCTTGGAGTTGGGACCCATTATTATCATTGTTGGATTTTTTTTTTTCATGCTTTGTGGTATAGCTTGGATTTATTATTTGAGTTAAAGGATTTCATTAGGTAGCTTGGATGAAGATAGCATTTTATAAATTACAGTGGTTCATTATGCATACCATGAGCTCCGAGTTAATTATCTTAATCTAGTGCCATGCTAGGGACTAGTGGAACAGCTTAGGTCGATTAAAATTCAACCAATCTTTGAAAAGTCATGAACTAATAACACAATGTTGTAATTGTTTGAGTTGATTGTGTGCTGTGTTGTACTGATATGTTGACATTGGCTACTTGAGTTGTTAATTATTGTGTTATGTCACATGGCTTGTTAACTCATCATTATCTTGAAATATTTAACTTTACTTTTAAGTTATACAACAATTTCTTATTTATTTTATTACATACACATATAATATTTTTAAATTTAATTATTATATTATTGTTTTAATTATTTGAACTGTGAACTGTGAATTGTCGACCCTTTTGATTTAATGTCTAATTTGATTCTGAAACATGAATGTATAAATGTTGCTGGAATTGAATGCCTTGTGTATAAATGTATAAAGTAATTACAATCTTCGACAGAACAAAGAACAACTGTTGCTGAATCCTGTATTTCCCCCTTTTTTTTTTTACGAAGACAGACTAATTCACTGTTCACGTTGCAAAATTTATGGCGATGGACAACATTTTAGCATACTTACTAATTACTAATATACATTCGTGGTCTTGATTTTTGAACGCGTACAAACCTCCTCAAATTTACCTTTTGAATTTTATCAGAGCATAAATAATTACGTTTGTTGTGTGGGTGTCGATTTCATCCTAGAAAAGTAAATCGCCAGTTTCAATGCTGATCTTATACCGGATGCAAGCCAATAATTTGTGTGTACGCTGAGAATCAAGAGGGCGTGTTAAATTAAAATATCTTAACTTTTTAAAGGGATCAAAATCACGAGAGAGCTGTTAGACCTGGCTTCTCACCACTAACTTTTTTTTCAATTTCCTCTTCACTAATCTAAAATAAAATCTGTACCATCTAAATTTGGTACAAACTAAATTTAGATTGTCAAAATTTAAAATTTTTATTTTCTATTTATATTTTATTTTATGCTTATTAAAATAAAAAAATTAATAATCAATTTTATCACCAATCAAAACAATCTAAATTTAATTTGGAGGATCCAAAAATTAATATTAAATTTATATAATTTTTATAAATTAATTATATAGATTTATTTTGAATGGTTTGAATTTAAAATTTTTAAATTATAATTTTTTATAAAAATATTTTTTGAAAAGTGTCCATTAGGAGATTATCTTTAGTTTTAATATTATATTTATTTAAATGAAAATTTATAAAAATTATTGAAAAATTAATATTAAATCTAGACTATTCATAATGAATTTGGATAGTTAATTTATAAAAATTATAAAATATTTAATATTAAATTAAATTATACATATTAAATTTAGACTGTAGAAGTTGGTAATAAATGAATTTATTAAATTTTTTTATTTTAATAAACATAAAATTAAAATAAAATTAAATTAAAAATAGACTATCCAATTTACACCACATCTGAATGGTTTGAATTTCATTTTAAGTCAGTGAAGGGTAAATGAGGAGGGAAGTCGGTGGAAAGAAGCCCAGTCACAGAACTGCCGTACAACTGAACAAGCCGCGATTCCTTTGACATCCGCGGAGATCAGCCCTTCGTGAGTCGTGACTCAACTCTCACGATTACGGGTTGTCAACTTGTCATGTGATGGTTCCCCCCTTTCCCCCGGGAATGGGCATGAGGAAAGACGCTGCTGATCGAGCTGCTTTCCTGGCTAGCAAAGGACAGGAGAGATCCATGTGCGCCTCGAATTGGATAATGGGTGTTTATACAGTAGAATACGCGCTAAGTCCTAATAAAATTTAACAGTCGTTTTGTATATACTCCCTCCGGTTCTATTTATAAGTCATTTCTCAACCTCATCAATACCAATACAATAAAAGTACAAGAATAAAAAGTAATAAATTCCAAACATACCCCTATATAACAAATCTAAAAAATAATGTCCTGTTACTTTTTCTCTCTCATGAAGGGTAATTTTGGAAATACCTCTCAATATACCTAAAAAGACGCACCGTGACTTATAAATGGAACCAAATACACCTTCTAAAATTGGACTTATAAATGGGACCGGAGGGAGTATGTAATTATGTACCGCGTGTGTTTCGAAGGATATGCCACATATCCACCTCATGGGAATAACTTTCTTCAGACCCTTTTTCTTGAGCTGTGGTTCAGTTGAAGGTCGATATATAACAGTTTATATTTTTTAATAGATGTTATATTTTATTCTATGGATACGATATCGGTCATCTGATTAAAAAATAACCCACGTGATCTTTGTGCAAGAGCAAAATTCATCGATGTGCTATTCTCCCTGCAGTCGGAAATATGTTATTTGCTTCCCCAGCAATGGGCATAGCTCCCCACAGGGATTAAATTGAAGCTTTGCCTCGACAACTCCAATGGCTGTTTCAATCTCCGGCGTCGTCATTCCCTTGTCAAGGCTCCGGGTCCAGGCTGACTTCCCATCCTGCAAAAAATCTCCAGCGCCATTGTCCCTCGCCTGTAACAAGTCTCTATCGACAGCCGCAGAACCAGCTACAAGAAAATCTACAATATGCAAGTCTTGTCCGAATCCGACTCGACCTTGTCGTCGATGGTCAACGAGCTCGAGAGGGAACGAGTACGAGTAAGTGGAGACGAAGAACAAGAAGCTGACAAGGCGCATCCCAAGAATCCCACGACGCAGGACTGCCTTATGTTTGGCGCGACATCCACGGGGAGAACGACTGGGTTGGGCTTCTTGACCCCATGGACCCCCTTCTACGATCAGAACTGATTCGCTACGGCGAAATGGCTCAAGCCTGCTACGACGCTTTCGATTACGACCCCTTTTCCAAGTACTGTGGAAGCTGCCGATTCACGCGTGGCAAGTTCTTCAAGTCCCTGGGAATGAATCAACTCGGCTACGACGTCACGCGCTACCTCTACGCCACCCCAAACATCAACCTCCCCAACTTCTTCAAGAAGTCCCGATGGCCCAGAATGTGGAGCAATGACGCTAACTGGGCGGGATATGTCGCCATCTCCGATGATCGAGCTACCAAAAGACTGGGCCGCAGAGACATAACGATTGCATGGAGAGGAACTGTGAGCCGGCTGGAATGGATCGTGGACTTGATGGATTTTCTCAAACCCATCTCCTCCAACAACATCCCCTGCCCGGACCAAACAGTGAAAGTGGAATCCGGTTTTGTGGATCTCTACACCTCCGAAGGACGACGCGTGCCGGTTCTGCAATACTCGGCGAGGGAGCAGATCTTGGCAGAGGTAAGGCGGTTGCTAGAAATGTACGAAGACGAGGAACTGAGCATAACGATCACGGGCCACAGCCTGGGGAGCGCGCTGGCTGTATTGAGCGCTTACGACATAGTGGAAACGGGGTTGCACGTGAAGAAGGATAGCAGAGCAGTGCCGGTCTCGGTGTTTTCGTTTTCTGGTCCGAGAGTGGGGAACGTGAGGTTCAAGAGAGGTTGGAGTGCCTGGGAGTGAAGGTTCTGAGGGTGTTTAACGCGCACGATATTGTGCCCAAGTCACCTGGGTTTTCGTTCAACGAGCAGGTGCCGTCGATGCTGATGAAGATGGCCGAGCCTTTGCCGTGGAGCTATTCACACGTTGGGGTGGAGTTCCAGTTGGACCATCACAGCTCGCCGTTTCTGAAGCCCACCAACGATCCTGTTTGTGCCCATAACTTGGAGGCTCTCTTGCATTTGATTGACGGGTTAGTATTCATTCACCCATATATAATTTTCTTGCGTGCTATAAACATGATCACGATCACTGGACAAATTTAATTTAAGGCGGTCTTGGCCATGTGGTAATTCTGTTGTTGTTCCTGGGTTGAAACAAAGCTAGGGAAAAATACTAATGAAAGATCAAAATAAGGCAGACTAATCGAGATCGGGGGCGTTCAAGAAAACAAAGAAACCTGTTTGGAGGTCTTGGTGCGAGAAATGCCGTCGTTATCGACAAGGACGGAAATGAAGCGAATATTTTACACATTAATATCCCTTTCCCGTCATGCCATTTGGATCCGGAGATAGCTCGTTTTAACAACGATGAGACTTCTGGAGACGCGAAGATTTAAATGAATGAAAAATAAAAAGCAAGTTGCGTTTAAAGAGGGATGAAGTGTCGATTTGTAAACTGAAAACTTGAAGTTAAAAATAGGTTAGATAGTTGACTAAAGGATGGGCGGTCATAGTCAAACAAAGTTGGTGCATATAACTGCATGCGTATATTAATCAGCGGTGATGACATGTAGTAGTTTGGAAATATTAATGAGACAAATGATGGGTGTAGATACCACGGAAGAGGCAGAGATTTGTTGCTGGCGAGTGGGAGGGACCCTGCACTGGTGAACAAGGCGTGCGACTTCTTGAAAGATCATTACTTGGTGCCGCCTAACTGGAGGCAAGACGAGAACAAGGGCATGATCAAGAACAGGGACGGACGATGGAACAGCCTGAACGCCCTAACCTCGACATCACCCTCACGACATTCATCATCATCTCTGCCAGTTAGGCCTGCTTCCTCTGATTTTTAATCACTGGTACTACGGACTACCCC